TTTATTTTATTTTAAACATACTTACATCAGTTTTTTAATAGTTCAATCTATAATCAAAAGAAGAGTTCACTTTTCTAAGCCATATTTCTAATCACATTTATGTTAGGCATTATTTTCCTAGTTAACAAATGGGTAAGCTAAGATAACTTGGCTTAAGACCTCACAGCTAACAAGTTTCCTGATCCATCCATTTTCCAATTTGCCTTAATGCCAAACAACATAATAAATTTTAAGAGAGACACAAGTCACTTAAAATGAGCCCAGAATAGATTCAATGACACTTGGTTTTATTTTCCAAATGGTATCATACAAAATCTCAGTTTATAATTTCAATTATTTAGTATTATATTTTACACAGGGGCCATTTATTCCAAGCATTTGATATTGTGGGGTTCACTATTTCCAGCCAATCATACTGCCAAAGAGTTTAAAAGTGGCCATAATCTACCCCAATTATCACACTTAAGAATACACCATAATTTAGTTCAAAGCTGGGTTCTGCAATCTCAGAAAGAACCTATTGCTTATCAGTTTTCTCCTAGCCCTCTATAACTTCCTCTATTGGCTTTCAAATCAATCGGCAATTTCTTAAACCTTTTCAACATGCTTGAATCTTTTTTTTTTCATTTTTATATCTCTCTTTGGTTTGAAAACCCACTGCTTTTTTATCTACCACATTCTTCCTTCAAACAGTTCCTGTTTCTCTCTTTCCAAATCTCCAAAACCGTTTATTCAGACTACACAACTTTCCTTTGCTTGCTCAAATCCTACATTTTCAACCATATCCCAGACTATATTCATTCCACTGAATATTTCCTTCAAAATGTTGGCACATATCATTGTTAAACCCAATTACTTACTACAACTTTACTTTCTCAAGCTGTGTAGTTAATTTCACCCCCAGGTGATTGTCTTCATTAATTTACCTATCACAATTATACTCTGTTGCTTGCTTAGTTACAATTCAGGCATTCTCTACGAGCTCACAGAGCTCCAGACCTCTCTCATTTCCTTGAAAGGAGATAGAAACCTGCCCTGCCTATTCCCAGTCCCAGTATTTGAAGAAGTTCATGGGACAAATCATTTTTTAAATTCCATTAATATGTTTTTAGTAATTATAAAACTTTGAGGAGGCCTGTGGTGGCTTATGCTTCTTTTGGGTTGGTTTTTTTTTTTTTGGTGAAAGATTTTTTTATTTTGGGGTTTTTTAAAAAATTTATTTACTTTTAGTTTTCAACATTCACTTGCTCAAGATTTTGAGTTCCAAATTTTCTCCCCATTTCATTCCTCCCCCCACCCCAAGATGGCATACATTCTGTATACCCCTTCCCCTAATCTGCCCTCCCTTCTATCTCTCCCCCCTTCTCTTATCCCCTATCCCTTCTATTTTCCTGTAGGGCAGAATATATGTCAATACCTCATTTCCTGTATTTCTTATTTCCCAGTTGCATGTGAAAACAATTTTTTTTTAAAACACATGTTTTTAAAACTTTGGGTTACAAATTTTCTTCCTTCCTCTCTCCCCACCCACCCTCATTGAAAAGGCAAGCAAGTCAATACAGGTTATACATGTGTAGTCATGCAAAACACTTCCATAGCAGACATGTTGTGAAAAACTAAGTATATTTCCTTTCATCCTATCCTGTCCAGCATTTGTTCTATTCTTTCTTTTGACCCTGTCTCTCCTCAGAAGTGTTTGCTTCTGATTATCCCCTCCCCCAATCTGCCCTCCCCTCTATCATCCCCCTGCTCTCTTGTCCCCTTTCCCCCTTATTCTCCTGTAGGATAAGATAGATTTCCCAGTTGTGTATGTTATTCCCTCCTTAACCCAAATCTGATGAGAATAAGATTCATTCATTCTCTCTCACCTTCCCCCATTTCCCCTCCATTGTAAAAGCCTTTTCTTGTCTGTTTCATGTGAGATAATTTACTCCATTCTACCTTTCCCTTTCTCCTTCTCCCAGTATAATCCTCTCTCACCCCTTAATTTTATTTTCCAGATATCACCCCTTCATCTTCAACTCACCCTGTGCCATCTATCTATCTATCTATCTATCTATCTATCTATCTATCTATCTATCTATCTGTCTGTCTGTCTGTCTGTCTGTCTGTCTGGTCTGTCTATCTATCTATCTATCTATCTATCTATCTATCTATCTATCTATCTATCCATATAATTTTTTCTCTCCCACTACCCTAATACTGACAAAGGACTCATGAGTTACAAATATCATCTTTCCATGCAGGAATGTAAACAGTTCAACCTTAATAAGTCTCTTCTGATTTCTCTTTCCTGTTTACCTCTTCATGTTCACTTGAGTCTTGTATTTGAAAGTCAAATTTTCTATTCAGCTCTGGTCTTTTCATCTTGAAAGTCCCCTATTTCACTGAATGACCATTGTTCACCCTGAAGGATTATACTCAGTTTTGCTGGGTAGGTGATTCTTGGTTGTAATCCTATCTCCTTTGCCCTCGGAATATTATATTCATGCCCTGTGGTCCTTAATGTAGAAGCTGCTAAATCTTGTGTTATCCTGATTGTGTTTCCACATACTTGAATTGTTTCTTTCTGGCTGCTTGCAATATTTTCTCCTTGACCTGGGAACTCTGGAATTTGGCTACAATATTCCTAGGAGTTTTCCTTTGGGGATCTCTTTCAGGGGGAGATCAGTGGATTTTTTCAATTTCTATTTTGCCCTCTGGTTCTAAAATATCAGGGCAGTTTTCCTTGATAATTTCTTGAAAGATGATGTCTAGGCTCTTTTTGATCATGGCTTTCAGATAGTCCAATAATTTTTAAATTCTCTCTCCTGGATCTATTTTCCAGGTCAGTTGTTTTTCCAATGAGATATTTCACATTGTTTTCTAATTTTTCAATCTTTTGGATTTGTTCTACTGTGTCATGATTTCTCATAAAGTCACTAGCTTCCAATTGGTCCATTCTAATTTTTAAGGAAGTATTTTCTTCAGGACTTCCTTTTCCATTTGGCCAATTTTGCTTTTTAGGGCATTCTTCTCCTCATTGGCTTTTTGGACCTCTTTTGCCATTTGGGTTAGGCTGTTTTTTAAGGTATTTTTTCTTCAGTTTTTTTGGGTCTCCTTTAGCAAGCTGTTGACTTGTTTTTCATGATTTTCTTGCATCACTCTCATTTTTCATTTTCTCTACTTCTTCTACTTGCTTCTCAAAATCCTTTTTGAACTCTTCCAAGGCCTGGGACTGATTCATATTTTTCTTGGAGGCTTTGGACATAGGAGCTTTGACTTTGTTGTCTTCTTCTGGTTGTATGTTTTGATCTTCTTTGTCACCAAAGTAAGATTCTATGGTCTGAGTTTTTTGTGCTGTTTGCTAACATTCCCAGACAATTACTTAAGTTATAAACTCTTTGTTAAGGTAGGAATCTACTTCCAACGTGGAGAATGTACTGTCCCAAGCTTTGGGGGTTTTGTGCAGCTGTTTTCAGAGATACTTCTAGGGACCTGTAAATTTTCAGTTCTTCCAAGGTGCTATGATCAAGGGCAAGATGTTTACTCCTTTCCTGGCCCGTGCTCTGGTCTGTGAGTGACCACAGGCACTCTTTTCTGTCTTGAAACAGTGAGGAAGATTCTCTCTGCACCACCACTACAAGCTGCACCGCGCCAGTGCTCCTCCTCACCCCAGGACCACCACCCAGAACTGTGACCCAGATCCAAACACGGGCAAAGCAAGAGAATCTTGCACCAGCAGAGAGATCTCTGCAATCCCGCTCTGATCAGCCCCTTGATTCCCCCTGTGTGGGCCGGAAGCTTAAGAGGCAGCCACTGCCCAGGGCCAGGCTCGGGGACTGGAGCTGAGACTACCTTGCTTCTCTCTCTCACCATAGACACAGACTTTTCCCACTGACCTTCTCAGTTGTCTTTGGTGTTTGTGGATTGAGAAGTATGGAAACCGCCACAGCTGCCCGAAATTCAGTCCTCTGAGGCCTGCTCCAGGTTCACTGTGGCCTGCGCATCCATGCCAAACTATGCTCCTCTCCCAGCCCTGCACGGTATACTTTTGAATCCACCATCCAGGTTGTCTTGGGCTGGAAATTTGTTCCACTATGTCTTTTTGTGGGTTGTGCTGCTTTAGAATTTGTTTAGGGCCATTTTTTATAGGTATTTGGAGGGGTTTGGGGGAGAGCTTAAGCAAGTCACTGCTTTCACTCTGCCATCTTGGCTCCACCCCTCACTCCTTTTGAAGGAGCGGAAGAGGGTCTGGGTTCTCTCAGCCCTATTAATAGCTTATTGGGCTTGACTGCCCAATTAACAATTAAGATCTATTATGTCGTCTACAAAAATCAACTCAGTTCAATTTTCCAAATTAAATCGGACTTACTTTCTTCTCTTTTCTGCTTCTTACGCTTCACTTTTCAGAATCTGGAGAGAGTTACTCCTTTGTAATTCATAGGTTAATAGAGTTGTATTTTTCAATTCTTACCAACATTGCTTATTCAAATAGCCTTTACAATGCTAACATACATTTTAGATATATGTTGAAAGGAAAATTCTTCATTTGGGTTTTCACCCTGATTAATAAGGTAAAACTCAGGACAAAGAGAATTAAAAGGATTTTATTGTAAGTATGTGAGGGCAGCAACACATTGACTAGTTAGCTGATCATTGAAGTGCAGCAACAGTTTCGAGGTGGGGCCAGCTTTTATAGGTGATTTTATGACAATCCAAATAGGTCCACCTCAGCTGAAAAGGTTGGGCCCTTGCATCTCAGTTCTTCCTCAAGCAAGCAAGAGGGACAGTTCACAGTTAGGGGAATCCAACAAAGAGTAGGTAATACAAAAAGCTGCACACTTGGTGTCTTCTTATCTGCCAGAGACTTCCCCGACACTGATTGACAAGCAGACTGGGAACAATGGGATACTGAGTCAACCAAACCTTCAGCATCGAAATTATTGAAAATCTAATGTGATTGCATTTAAGGCCACATAGAGAAACCTTGATCAAAGGACAAAAAACTTATTTTGCAGTTTTAAACCCATTGCCCTGATGTCAGATATCCGGTGGGGAATAGTAGTAGAATCCTCAACGTTGGTGTGCTTTAAGGTGCCCAGTGTAAAAAGCAAGACTGTCTATGGAGCAGACTTCAGAGAAAGAGGCTTCTCTGGTCCTGCTGGTAAGATCTCTTACAGAGTGTCTTTCACAAACAAGTTAGAAATAGATGATCAAGGGGCAGCTAGGTGGCGCAGTGGATAGAGCTCTGGCCCTGAAGTCAGGAGGACCTGAGTTCAAATCCAGCCTCAGACACATAACACTTACTAGCTGTGTGACCCTGGGCAAGTCACTTAACCCCATTGCTTCATCAAAAAAAAAAAGAAATAGATGATCATTCCTTGATGGTCTCTTGTTCCTCAGCCTGTCATTGCAGATAACAGCTGCATAACAGAAAAGGGTATACAAAAAGGAGATACTTCAGTAAGCATTTATTAAGCATATGTGTGATCCACAGTCTATCTTAAAAGTTTTAGGTCCTGGAACTGTGGATAAGTACACAGGTAAAAGCAAAATGGTGCCCCCATCAAGAACTTTACATTTTGCTAGAGGGGAAAATGCATGCACATACAATACATGCAAAATTAGTACAAAGTCATTTGGCAGAGGGATCTGGAGGCAGAGTATGAACGATGAGAAAGCCCAAAAAGGCCTCTTGTAGGAGGTGGCACTTCCAGGAACTAGGGACCAAAAATGTCCTTGAGTAGCAAGGTTTTGTTGTTATTGTTGTTTTAGGATTAGAGGAGAAAGCACGAGTGTAAAGCAGTAGAGAGTAAAACTTTATTTCACCTCCTAATCATCTCTGTTGCCTTTTAGAGGCAATATTTTGTTGGGTTCTGTTAATTATAGTCTGAATCCTTTCCATTTCAGCTATGACAGCTATAAAAGCAAGGTATTAAAATAAACTGAACTTTGAACTGGTACTTTGAATCACTGCATCACAAAGCACTAAATTCAATGTATTCATTCTCACAAAAATATTATGATTAAGAGGGCAAAAGGTGTTTTTGCACTATTAGCAAGTTATTTTAAAATAATTTATTTTATACTTATCTCATTCTTTTAAAATTTATTTTTGTGTCTGCTTTATTATGTATATAATTATTAGAATAGAATTTATTTTATAAAGTGCATATGTTGGGGATGGATGCTCAAATTTTTAAAAAAATTTTTATTCATTTAAAATTTAAATACAAAATGAAAAAAGAAAAAAAAGAAACATTTCCAGAACATGAGAGGATTCAATATAAAACAATAAATTGCCATTTCATGAAAACTTATGTAAGAAATCTTAGACATTGTTTTCAAAGCAACTCAGCTTTTCTGTGCTTTCTTCTAGGTTTTCTTTTGTTCTGTGCTGTGCAGAAAATCCTCCCCTCCTCCTAGAGAAGGCAAATATACATGTATGTATGTATGTGTGTGTATGTGTGTGCATGTATATATTAAACACAAATATATGTGTGTATGATATAGAGGGAATTCTGATTTTTATAATAATCCATATGATATATGTAATGAATACACTAATAGATTCGATTTTGCAGAATTGCCTTTTCCAGCGTATGAGTAATACTCACAATGCGGCTTGAACCAATCAATCAAACCTTGACAAGGCTCACAATCACAGCATCCTTCTGCCTGAGGACCTGAATGAAGCCAATCAAAGACTGTAGAACCTGGTCCCATCACAGAACTCTGGCCCTTCCACCCGTTAAGTGAGACCCCCAAGCATTTGAGCAGCACTGCTGCCCCGGGACTCCAGAATTGTTCTATTATCATCTCTTTGTGGGTTTGTCGTGGGAAACCACTCTAGCCTCAGAAATGATTGTTTGTGATCCTGTTTGTGATCTGTATATATAATCTCTGTCTTCACTTCAACAAGGTGGAATTCTGATCAGGAGAATCTCCGATTTGCAAATCTGTTCCTCGTAATGAAACTAATTAATTAAACAGCTACCTGATTACTGGCACGTAGTCTCTGGCTTGCTATTTCATCACTCTCAGGTTAGAGACTGGCTCAGTAAAAAATCCTGTTAATAATATATGCACGTATATACACGTATCCATAAACATACATACATATATATATATATACACATATATGTATATATACTGTATAAATGTATATATATTATCAACCATTACTAAGTTCATTCTTAGAAAGACAAACAAAATTAGGCTGCATGTGAGTGTTTATTTCTCTCAAAGCTTGTGGAACATGCATATAGAGATATACATGGGAGCTCATTGTGAAAATGAGTCTAAATATGGACAGACAAAGCAGACCTTACATCTTCAGAGCAATTCCCTCTCACACCTCCCTCCCTTCTTGGCTCAGAGTACCTATGTGAGCCACAATTATGGTCTCTATATGTTTTAACCATAATATGAGAAAGGAATTTCTTAAGAGGATTGATTTTAAATACAATAAGGTAGGAGAATGTCAAAGTGTCCATTAAAATTATAGATCAGGATACCTGTGTTTACCAAGATAAGAAAAGTCCCATTATTCAAGATAGTGTCTGGTTCCAAGTACCTTGTCTTGTCGTCATAAAAAGAGGAATGCTTCTGGTCAGCTTCATCTGGCCTTGTAGTTGCTGACCCAGGTAGGAGCATTTTGAGTTCACTCAGAGAGCAAAGCATGTCTGTTATGCCAAAGCACATAAAACATTATGGTAGGTCTAGCTCAGAGCAGGCCAAAATGTCTCTCCTGATTGACCAATCCAGGTTTTAGGCCTTTCTCAGGCTAACTCTTCATGACCCCATGAATGATAGTGTGCCAGTACTGTCTACAGGGGTTTCTTGGCAGAGATACTGGAGTGGTCTGCCATTTCCTGCTTCAGTGGATTGAGGCAAATAGAATGAAAAAATAGAAGAGAATGTGAAACATCTCATCAGAAAAACAACTGAGGTGGAGAAGAGATTGAGGAGAGACAATGTAAGAATGGTAGGACTACCTGAAAGTTACTTGATAACATCATTACAAGAAATTAAGGACAATTGCCATGAAGTTCTATAACTTAGGGTTCAAAATGGTTTGGGGAGGGGTCTAACACATATGTAAGACCATACTATGCATATTTCTATTTGTCAGTTCTTTCTCTGGATGTGGATAGCATTTTCCCATAGGTCCAAGTCTTCCCATGTTTTTCTAAATCAACCAGCTTATCACTTCTTTTATCACAGCAGGATTCCATCATAATCATATACCACATCTTACTTAGCCATTCCCCAATTGAAGAACATCCATGATTTTAGCCAATCTGATAGGTGTAAGATGATATCTCAAAGTTATTTTAATTTGTTTTTCTATAATCAATAATGATTTAGAGCATTTTCTCAAATAATTATACAGCCTTGATTTCTTCATCAAAGAACTACCTGTTAATATCCTCTAACCATTCATCAATTGAGGTGTGACTTGTATTCTTATAAATTTGATAAAGTTCTCCATATGTTTGAGAAATGAGACCCCTGAGAGATTGTCTATGAAAGTTTCACCCCCCTCCCCAATTTTTCCCTTTCCTTCTAATCTTGGCTATATAGCTTTTATTTATACAAGAACTGTTTAATTTAAAATAATTAAAGTTCTTCATTTTGCACTTCAACAATACTCTCTATCTCTTATTTCTTCACATATTATTCTCCTGTCCATGAGTCTGTTAGGTAATATGTTCCATGTTCTTTCAATTTTCTTATGATATCTCCCTTTATATAGGTCATGTACCCATTTTGTCCTTATCTGGGTACATGATTTAATATATTGGTCTATGCCCAATTCCTGCCAGACTGCTTTCTAGCTTTTCCAGCAATTCTTACCAAATAATGAATTCTTTTTTTGGGGGGGGGGCTGGGCGATGGGGTTAAGTGACTTACCCAAGGTCACACAGCTAGTAAGTGTAACATGTCTGAGGCCGGATTTAAACTCAGGTCGTCCTGAATCCAGGGCCAGTGCTCTATCCACTGTGCCACCTAGCTGCTCCCCAAATAATGAATTCTTATCCCCAAAACTTAAATCTTTACATTTGTCAAACCCAAAGTTACTATAGTCCTTTATTACTGCATCTTGTATGCCTACTCTGTTTCCCTAATCCATCTGTCCATTTCTTAGCCAGTAGCAGATAGTTCTGCTGTTTCCATTTTATGGAGAAATTCATACCATTCACATTCTAAGTTATAATTACTTATTGTGCATTTCTCTTCATCCTATTTTTTCCTTGCTATCCTTCTCTCCCCATTTACTCTATCCCTCCTCACTGGTCTAATTTAATTTTAGCAGCTACCTTGCCCTCCTATTCCTTAATCTATCCACTCCCCATAAGAGTCCCTCCCTTATCCCCCCACCTTCCACTTTAATCTGCCTATATTTCTAAAAGTTTCTCCCTTATTATCTCCCCTATCCTAATTCTTAATCTACACATCCATCTAAAAGACCCTCCCTTATCTTATCCCCTATCTCCATTATTCCTTTCTAGATTTAGAAGACTGTTTTGTGGCACCCTTCTAAAGATAGATGTTGTTCTCTCTTTAACCCATTCCTGATGAGAGTGAGGTTCCAGCACTATCAGCCCTTCCCCACGACTTGCTTCTTCTGTATCAATTTTTCCTTTCATGCCTCATTTGTATAAGATAATTACTCCTTTTTATCTCTCCCTATAAAGTTTTATTTTTTAGAATCACCCCATCACACACAGCTCAGCTCAAACCTTTATTTCCAACTACCCAAATAATGATGACAGTCATATGAGTACTGATAACATTTTCACACATAAAAAGTAGAGTTGGACTTTATTTAGTGCCTTATAATTGGTCTTAAATGTTATATTTCTCCTAGATCTTATTTATTGAATATTCCATTGTTCTGCTTTTTTTTGTCATAAATACCTGAAAGTCTTTCAATTCATTAAATATCCTTCCCCTCCCCCCCATTTAGGATTCTACTTAACGTTGCCAGGTAAGCTTCCCTTGTTCATAATCCCAGCTCTTTTGCTCTATGAAAAGTAGTGTTCCAAGACCTATGATCCTTCAATATAGAAGCTTCTAGGTCTCGTGTAATCCTAATTTTAGCTCCATGATATTTATTTTTTTTTCTCCTGTTGCTTACAGTATTTTCTCCTTAACCTGGGAGCCTTGGAACTTGGCTTTGATATTCCTGTCAGTTTTCCTCCTGGATCTCTTTTAGGTGGTGATCTGTGTTATTTTTTTTTCTTATTTCTGCTTTACCTTCTTGTTCTAGAACTTCAGGGCAATTTCCTTAATCTCTTGTAAAAATGTATCAAGTAACTTTCAGGTGGTCCTACCATTCTTACATTGTCTCTCCTCAATCTGTTTTCCACCTCAGTTGTTTTTCTGATGAGATGTTTCACAATCTCTTCTATTTTTCATTCTATTTGCCTCAATCCACTAAAGTAGGAAATGGCAGACCACTCCAGTATCCCTGCCAAGAAACCCCCATAGACAGTGCTGGCGTGCTATGGTTCATGAGGTCATGAAGAGTTAGAAATGACTCAACATCAGTGACCACGTATGTAACATGTTTGGATTTGGTTGTTGGCATGTTTTCTCCCCTGTTAGATTATGAGTTTCTTAAAAGCAGGGACTGATTTTTCCTTTTTTTTTTTTTGTATCCCAGTGTTTAGCACAGTGCCTGCCACATAGTAGGTACTGAATAAATGTTTATTGACTGACTAATTGATATAAGTACAATCATCCTAACAATTGTGGAACGAGTACTGCACAGTCTTCCTTTACTATTTGTGTCCCTAGTGCTTAGCACAGTGTTTAGCACATAGAAAGCACTTAGAAAATGTTTCATTCATTCATAGTTAGGTAGATTCATTGTTTTAACTGTTGTTGTATTCCGTTACATTCACATACCACAACTTGCTCAGCCCTTCCCTAATTGATGAACATCCCTTAAATTTCTGTTCTTTCCACCACAAAAAGAGCTGCTATAAATATTCTTGCACATGTGGGTCCTTTCCCTTTTTTTATGATCTCTTTGGGATGCAGACCTACCAGTGGTATTGCTGGATCAAAGCATATGCACAGTTAGATTGCCCTTTGGGCATAGTTCCAAATTAGTGCAATGACTTCTCACCAACCCAAAACAACATAGCACATGGGCTGTGAACTGTCCAGAACTGAATAGGAAGAAGAGGGTAATTGGGACTGACTTTGGAAAGATGGGCATTACTTTTGATGGGTCCAAGCATCCCCAAGAAACCAAGGCATATCTTCTTAGCATCAATATTCTCCTGGTCCTGGGGGATGGCTGTGAGTCATAGAATAGCACAGTCTCTGAGGAATTAAGGTTATAGGCTTCCTCCAGGAAAATGGAAAGGAATGTGGTAGGCACAAGCAACTTGCAACCTATAAAAGGCAGTGCAGAAATGGTACGTAAAAAATGCCAATTCACAAGCATTGATTAAGCCCTAATTATTGAAAGTACTCAGAATACAGAGACAAAAGTAAGGCAGTCTCTGTTCTCAGGAAGCTTACATTCCACGGGGGGGGGGGATACCATCAGAGAGATGTGTGCCTAGAGAAGGAAGTGGACTGATCTTAGGTGAGAGCAAGTCATAAGAGGCTGGGATGGATACCCCATGTATGCCAATAGATTTGACGTATCATCAAGAGATTAGGAGGTAGAGGCCCAGCATGTTGAGGCCACTGTCCCTGGAAGATTGACAGGACGTGGACAAGAGCTGCAATGGATGAGAGAGCTTGAGTAGATTGCATTTGGTGTCTTGAAGGGAGTACCCACATCTATTCCTCTCTTTGCACTGGTTGTCCCTGTCTGTCACTACTGAGTTTGTTCTAAGAAACACAAACAAAATTAGGCTGCATGTGCAGGTTTATTTGTCTCAAAGCCTGTGGAACATTCATTTAGAGATAGGCATGGGAGCTCATTATAGACAATGATCTGAAGGATGGACAGACAAAGGGGACGTTACATCTTCAGAGTAATTCCCTCTTATCCCTCCATCTCTTCCTGGCTCAGGATGCCTATGTCAGCCAAAATTAGAGCCTCTATATGTGTTAACCATGATATGAGAAAGGAATTTCTCAACTGGATAGGTTGTAAGTACAATAAGATAGGAGAAGTGTCAAAGTGTCAATTGAAATTATAGACCCAGGATGTCTGTGTTTCTTCCATCATTAACATGACATCATATAATATAATACAGTATGTGTCTATAGAATACCAAGATAAGAAAAGTCCCATTATTCAAGACAGTGCTTGGGTCAAGGCACCTTGACTTTCGCAGAATAATGCTTCTGGGCAGCTTCATCTGGCCTTGTAGTGGCTGACACTGGAAGGGGCACTTTGGGTTCACTCACAGAACAAAGCAAAGCATGTCTGTTATGCCAGAGCATGCAAAGCATCATGGTAGGTTGAGCTCAGAGTGAGCCAAAATGTCTCTCCTGATTGGCCAATCCAGGTTTTAGGCCTTTCTCAGGTGGTCGGGGTTCAAATGGTTTGGGGAGGGGTTCACATCCCCTATATATACCTGGAATGATAGCAGCTAGCATTTAGAGAGTGCTTTAAGGTTTGTAAAATGCTGTACATAGGTTATCTCATTTGACTCTCACTATATCCATGGGAACTACATGCTATTAGTTTACAGATGAGGAAACTGAGCCGGAAAGAGATTAAGTGACATACCCAGGGACACACAGCCAGGAAGCACCTGACAGAGGATTTGGACTCAGATCTTTCTGACTTTGTGTACACTTTCTTTTTTAAGTCTACACTTCTTGCTGAAGGACACCTTGAATTCCATAGTTCTGAGTCCTAGGAGGGCTAACACCAATCATGTAGACCAGGTGCTGCACCTAGTCCAGCCTCAATGTGGAAGAAGAAGAAGTTCACCAGGCTGCCTATGGAGTGGCATCCTGCCTCATCTGGGAAAACTGAACAATTGAAATCTTTTGTGCCTATCTGTATGGGGATTGGGTCTGTGAGTGGCTGTGGCTCTTCCAGCCTGAGCAAGATAGGGAGACCTGGTCTCCAAAAATAATTAAATGAATGAATGAATGAACAATCAACCCCCCCCCACAATAAACAAGCCTTAAATTTGAAACAAACAAAAAACCAAATCAAAACAAAAAGTCTACATTCTTTTCATTGTGCCACCTAGCTGCCTCTCCCCTTCTCACCTCTGTCTTTGGCTTCCTTCCAGACTCAGTTCAAATGTCCCCTTCTTGTAGGAAGCCTTTCCTGTTCCCCACAGCTCCTGAAGCCTTCTCCTCTGAGATTATCTGCCATTTGCTCTGTATGAAGAGAGACAGAGAGAGACAGAGAGACAGAGAGAGAGAAAGAGAGAGAGAGAGAGAGAGAAAGAGAAAGAGAGAGAGAGAGAGAAAGAGAAAGAGAGAAGGGGAAGAGAGAGACAGACAGAGAGACACACACAGAGAGACAGAGAGACAGAAAGACAGAGACAGAGAAACAGAGAGAGACAGACAGAAAGGGAGAGACAGAGGCAGAGAGAGAGCGACAGAGAGACAGAGAGAGAAAGCATGTGTGTGTGTGTGTGTGTGTGTGTGTGTGTGTGTGTTATTTCCCCCAGTAGAATGTAAACTCCTCAAGGACCTTTTAAAATTATTTTTCTCTGTATCCCCAGCACTTAGCACGGGGCTAAGCACATAAGACCCCCTTAATAAATGCTTACTGATGAATGCAGAACTGCAAATAGCTACTTTTATCCAGGGGCCCGCCCCACAAGGCCGGTCCAGGACAAGCTGCGGGGAGACAGACTCCCAGGTACAGGGACATTCTAAGGCCACACGGTCAGTACTGCAGAGCCCGCCCATCTCTCACCCTCATCCAAGGAAATGGACATGAGTGCAGGGACTGTTCTTTTATTTTTTATTTTCGTATTCCAAGTGCCTAGCACAGCCCCTGGCACACATCTGGTGCTCAATAAATGCTTGTTGGCCTGTTGACTTACTATTTAAACTGACCAGAGTCAACTAGCATTTATTAAGCACCTCTATCCAGACATTGGGTTAAGCCCTGCTAACCAAGAATAATTCATTATTTCTTCACCATTAGTAATCATCCAAAAAGCCCGAGGGGTCTTTGGGGACCACCTCAGCCTGCTCCTCTACAGAGCAGGATAAAGCGAAGGCAGACAAAGGAACTCATCCTAGGTCTGGGAAAAATGAGGCTGTACAAAAAGGTGGGGGATGGGGGCTGATGGAGGTGGTGCCGTGGAGGCCAAGGGGGAGGGGACTACGCGTTTGTATCTCATACCACGTGGGCTAAGCCTAGGCCCGAGGGGCGCGCCCCTCTCTTGCGCAGGCGCAGGAGCCACCGCTAGCCGCCGGACTTCTTTTCCCAGAAGGCACTGCCGGTGACGATGCCTCCTTTTCAGTCCCTGGACCGCTCTCAGTCAGTTGCCATGGAAATTGTCACTAACGAGGAGTGGGGGAGGGCCGGAAATGTCGGAGCAGGGGCCCAGGCCACCCGAGGGGGACTTCCGCTTCCTCGTTGTCCTCTTTTCCTCGCCTGGTGAGAGAGGCCGCCTGAGCCCCCTGTCCCTCCCCATCTTGTCTCGCGCTGCCCCGTCCCGGCTCCCGCTCGCCCCCGTCGTCGTCTTCCTTTCCCTCCTTCCTCCTCCTCCTCCTCTCCCTCCTTGCACCCTTCCTCCTTTCCCCTTTTCTTTCTCCCCCTTGCTGCCTTGCCCCCCTTTTCTCCTTTCTGCCTTTGCCTTCCCTCTCCCTTTCTCACCCTTGTCCTTTCTCCGTTTCCTCCTTCCTTTCCCTCCCCATCTTTTCTCTCTTTCCTCTCCCTTTTCCTGCTCCTCTCCTTCCCACTTCTGCCTTCTCCTCATTCCCCTCCCCCTCTTCATCTTTTCTACCCCGTTCCCTCCTCTCCTCCTCCCCCTGTCCCCCTGGTCACCTTAACTCTCCTCTTTTCCCATTTCCCTCTTTCTCTCCCCCTTCTCCTCCTTTCCTTCTCCCCTCTTCCCTCCCTTCTCTCTGTTTCTCTTCCTCTCTCTCTTCCTTCCTCCCACCCTTTTCCCCCTTCTCTTCCTCCCTTTTCTGCCCTTTCCAGACTGCCTTTTCTTTGGATTCCATATTCCAGAGTTAGAGCCCTATGGATTGGGAGGTTTCATCCTGGAGCTGAAACTCCTGGAATGAACCTGGTCACAGGCCTGCACCCAGCCTCTGAGCCTGAGCTTAGGGGAGAAAGGGCATTCAGTGGCATTCATTCATTCATTCATCATTCATTCATTCATTCATCATCAATCATTTGCAGGCCTTGTATCCATCCCTACTGCTACCTTGGGCTAAACCTGGACCCCAGAATTTAAAGTCGGGGAAGAGAAGGAGAGGGGGGTGTTGGTTGTTTGTGTTCCCCCTTCAGGGACTTGTGTGGTGCCTTCATTTCCCTTAGATAGCAAAGCTCTTAACCCTTTTCTCTCTCATCTTGGGAACTAGGGGTGTAGAACTTCACACTTGTGCTGCCTGGGGCATTCATTGGTAAGAACTCTGGATTTAGGGAGCTCAGTTTTGAATCCTGGCTGTGCCATTTACTGCTTCTATGTGGTACAAACATTGTGTAAAACCTGAGATGAGCTAATCTCTGAAATTCCCCTTAAGCCTTCAATCTTTGATCCTACAATCTCCTCTTCTGTAGAAGTGTGAGGTTTTCCAGTCACATCCATGGGGGTTTGAAGGAAATGCTATTTACTTGTTCTCAGGAGGCCATCCTTCAGTTACTTGTGTGTAAAATTTGTCCTCCCCAGGCAGCAAGGACTGTGGCCCTTTTCCCTTCTCCTGGGAGCAGAGGAGCAAGGGTTGTGCCATCTTTTTCTTCTAACCTCAGGCCCTTTCTGAAGGTGGGGGATTTGTTTTCCCTGGGACCAGGGAAGTGCCAGCCTCTCTCATGTTTCCTCTCTGCTTCCCAGCTCTGCCTCTGAGGACTCTGCTCTTCCCCAAGAGGGAAGCATTCAGGAGAGAATGTTCCCTGTGATCCCAACAGCCAGGTGCCAGGTTAGTTGGATTTTCTTCTTTGCTGAAATAATACCTAGATTCTCAGGGTGTGCAAATGCTTCTGGTCCATATGCCAGAAGTGAGGAAACTGGGTCCGTTGTGATGGATGCAGTCCTTACACCTTGAGGAATGCTTTCCAGAATAGCTGGTGTCAAGTCAGTAAGCATTAATTTAGTGCTTCCTATGTGCCAGACCCTGGGCTAAGCACAGGGGATACAAAAAAGGGCAAACTCAAGTCCCTGCCCTCACAGAGCTCACACTCTAATGGGGGAAATAACCTGGGAACAATTGAGGCAGCTAGGTGGTATAGTGGGTGGAAAGCTGGACCTGGTATCAGGAAGACCTGAGTTCATATCCAGCCTCAGACACTTACTATCTGTGGGACCTTGAGCAAAAAACTTCACCTGCCTCAGTCGCTCATCTGTAAAAGGGGATCCTCCCAGGGGCGTTGTGAAGATCAAATGAGATAATATTAGTAAAGCACTTTGCAAACCTTGAGGCAACCTATAAATAAGAGATAGATGGAGATAATCTCAGGCACTAGTGTCCCTTTCCTCTGACCCCAATTAATTAAATTGCTCAGCAATTTATTACTGCTATGTGCTTGGTACTGAGCTTGGTGCTGTGAATTCAAAAGACATTGAATTGACAGTCCAGTTTATTATGGAGATTTCAGTTTCCTTGAGGGAAGACCAACTATTTTATATGTATTAATGATGCCTCTTCTAGCATTGTTTTTAAAAGGACCAAAATGAGTAGGTAGAGACATTCAAGTTTTTAGAAATTCAGGGAAAAAAGATGTTGATAACGGGTTCAGATGAGAAATGAAGGATTCCTGAAGAAAGTACATTTTGGTTTGATATGGGTAGCATATGTTTAGTTGGGGAAGAAAGGAATTAACCTGTTACTTGTGGTAACTGGTGAATAGTCCCTAGCCGTATTTTCCTGTGGAAGGCAGCTCATGGTAGGGAAGCATTATAAAATTAAATGGGATGGGTGCCCATTGTAGTAAACTGTGAGTATCGTTCTCAAGTGACTCATCCCAACCTTAATAGTGAACAAATCTTTGACGTAGGCAGGGAAACAAATGCTGCATATGGAGAGAGGTATGAAAGGCTAAAATTTAGGGGCTGAGATGAAGGTGTATGTGGCCTTTCACTCAAGGTAAACTCAGAGTTCTCTATAGGACTGTGGCTGAGGCACTGAAAGAAAAAAGGTGAAGAGAAGGATACTGTGAGCCTAAAAAGTTCAGTGGAACAGTATGCCTTGGGTAGAATTGGAGTTGGCCATTTGGGAAGAAAGACTAGTCAAAGTGGGGAATGTGCTGGAGCTCTATGAAGAGTTTAGAAATGAGCAGGTTTAAAATAGTCACTTGCCTACAGAGCATTGAGTAGGTGAAGCTTGATGTAAGCTGTACACAGATGAGAGTTCTCTCACCTTAGTATGGCTTCTCCTTACCAGTCTCAATCCTCATTGTTCTCTTTTTCACCTTAAATGGAGCCACTTAGATTACTGCAGTAGCCTCCTACCTGCCTTTCACTTCTCTGTTTGTCTTTCCCCATTCTGTCCATCCATCCATCCGTCTATCCATCTGTCTTTCCATCCATCCACCTATCCATCCATCTATCCCATTGTTGCCAGATTCAGCTTCCTCATGCAGACACCTGAGTGTATCATTTGTTTGTTGAAGACACTTCAGCGAATCCCTATCCACCTGTGCATTACAATTCACATTCTTTTTTTTTTGAACATTCAGGACCCTCAACAATTTGAAATCATTTCCCCCCTTCCCTTTTCTAGTCTTATCTGAGAGAATTTTCCTCTTTGTGCCCGTGCTCTAGAACAGTGGTGTCAAATTAATAATGAGGACCACTGAGCTGTGTGTATGATCTCCGTGGGCACATGTTGACTTCGTTTTAAATGTAATGTCATCTGTGTCTTATTGTGTCTTTATTTGTTTTGTTCAATATTTACCAATTCCATTTTAATCTGGTTCTGGCACACACAGGAGTGATGCATGAATGTGGCCCAGGGTTGAGACCTCTGATCTAGAATCATGAATTGGATAAATGCCACCCCCATGAAGAGCCCCTCTTGCGCATGCTGTTTTGCCTGGCACCACAATGACCTCTGTCCCCTGTACCTACCTGCTGAAATCCTATAAGACACAGCTGAACCACACAGGAAACCTGTCCTCACTACTCAAATGAAATAATATTTTTGACAGCACTTAGGACAGTACCTGGCAGGTAGTGGCCACAATATCAATGCTTCTTTCTTTCCCTTCCACTGTTCATATCCTGCATCCAGTGATGAGAATTCTCTTCTTGCTTCTCACAACACATTTGGCTCTGCCTCTTTTATGCACTCACCTATATCCTTTGGCATAGCTTTCCACTCAGTGTAAACTTCAGGACAAAGGGACCATGCCTTCTTTAATTTTTTATCTCCCCCTGTGCTTAGCTCAGGATTTTACATGTAGTAGACTTTTTTTTTTTAAAGACCAGATCTCCCTATCTCTTCTCAGGCTGGAAGTCCAGAGACCACTCAAGGGGCTGGTCCTACTCTGATGGCCTTGGGGCTTTGACCTCTGCAGTCTCTGACCTGGGCTGGTTCTTTCCTACTTAGGCAGCCTGGTGGCCCCTCTGCTGTCACAAGTTCACATATTAAAGCTGCATTTAATTTGGACCCTTGATGTATTTGTTGGTTTAGTGCATGGAAGCTCAGACCTCTGGAGCTTGAGAGATCCAGCACCCTTTTTCCTGGTAGCAGGGATTACAAGGATGTGCCACCATGCCTGGCCTGTAGGGGACAGTAAGGGCATTCTGAGGTGCCTGGGGGACATATTGAGAAGTTGTGGGATATATACAATTGGGAAGAAAAAGGAGAGAGAGAAACAGAGAGAGAGAGGGACAGAGACAGAGACAGAGACAGAGACAGGGAGGGGGAGAGGGAAATGGAGCAAGCCCTGAAAGTAGTTCAACTAGGAGCACAAATTGGGGAATGCTGGAGGAGAGCAAAGGGAGAGGGGAGAGAGAGGGTGGGGCAAGTGCTGATTGGGTAGTGCAAGCCGGAAAGAGAAGACACTGTGACTTATCTGAAACTTGTCTTTCCAAGGTACCAGTGATCTTTTCACTACTAAATCCAGTGACTTTCTCAGTGGTCATCCTAATCTCCCTGTTGTGTTTGAGAGCGTTGACCACTACTGCCTCTTCCTAGATATTCGTTCCGTACTCCCCCACCCCCCTTCATCTCCCCTCTATGGTTTTTGTAATGCTACTTTCTCCTGCTTGCTCCAGGCTCTGCCCTAGGTGCTGTCCTCTCCGAAATAATCTCCTCTGTTCCATTATCATCTCTAGAGAGATGATTCCCAGTTTGAATATTCAGCCCGAATGTGTCCTCTTAACCCCAGGCACACATTTCCAGCAGCTGGCTGGATGTAGCATCTTATCTCAGATTTAGATGGCCTAAATATAATCTGTTTTCTCCCTTTCTACCTGACCATTTTCCAAATTTCCTGACAGCTGCTTGGGTAGGTGATGTAGTAGATAGAGTGCTGGACCTGTAGTTAAGAGCTCAGTTCAGATCCGGCCTCAGACATTTACTAGCTGAGTGATCCTGGGCAAGTCATTTAACCTTTAACTGCCTCTGTTTCCCCAACTGTAAAATGAGGATAATACTAATACCTACCTCTCAGGGTTGTTGTGAGGAGCAAATGAGATGCTATTTGTGAGGTACTTGGCACAGTGCCTGGCACATCATAGATGTGTAATAAGTGCTTCTTCCCTTCTCTCCCTCTCCCCCCAGTTCTAAGGTTCCCTGATATTCTCAACCTCAGAGCTGTCTCTGTTTCTTCCCACTCCTTCACTCCCAGGACTGGATCAGTTAGTTGCCAGATCTCATCAGTTCTTCCAGCATTCCTGGCATTAGCCCTCCATCACTTTTTACTTGGATGAAGGCTTCAGTCTCCTCATTGCTCTTCCTCTTTCCTGTCATCTCAGGCCTCTCTGATGTATCTTAGCACATTGCTGTCAAAATAATGTTCCCAAGGTAAATGGCTGATGGGATCAGTATCGTACTCAGAAAGTGTCAGTGGCTCCCAGGTCCTTCCAAAATAAAATAAAAACTCCTCCACTTGGCATTGAAGTCCATCCACAAATGGGCTCCTGTCTGCCTTTCTAATACTTCCACTCCATTTCTCTTCCCATTGGCTCTGCCTTCTTTCTAAAATGGAATTCCTCCTTGCCCTTCCCTCTTCATTCAAGGCACAGACCAGATTCTGCCTCTTTGGCAAGCCCTGCTTCTTTCCTTCTGTTGTTAACTGCTCTCTTCCCTCAAATGACCTTGTCTTGACTTCCCTGCATGCCTTCTTTATCCCCCCAATTGCATCCAAGTTCCTTGTACACCAAGACTTTTGGTTTTTTTCTTTTAACCTCCTGCACCTAGCACAATGGCTTTTGCATCCTGCCTTTGACTAGTGTACAATCTTAGGCAGATCCCTTAGCCTTCTGAGGCTTAGTTCCCTCATTTTGGAAATGGGAGAGGCCTGGAAAATAATAATGGAGACCAAGGAAGAGGAAAAGTTAGTGAAGCCAGACATCAGTTCTTTTAAAGGCTTTAGTGAGGTGTCAGGCGTGGGGTATGGCCTTAAAATACATGGGATACTTGGGAGAGTAGAGGCAATGAAAAAAAAGAAAGACAAAGAAAGAAAGAAGGTAAGAAGCCATTCAGCCCAACAAGTAAAAAAAATTACTGAAGCCTGTGCCTGTGGGTGCGCATAGCTTTATGCCAAGCACCGGAAATGCACAGAAAAAACCCAAATTAGGTCGACTTCAGTGAGTTTTGTTAGTCTTATATTTTACACTTCATTTTTATTGATATATTTTGTTTTTGCATTTTCGAAATACAGCCCTCTCCTACATAGATTTGTGTTATAACAAATATTAAAACCAGAAGAAAAAACAGTTTAGCAGAACTAAGCAGGGTAGGAGAAAAAAATT